CGGCGGAGCGGCCGCCCTGCGCCCCCCGCACAGGGAGAGCGGCCGGGCCGGGCACCTGCCCCACCGGGTCCCGCTGGGCCCCCTGGGGTTCCACCCGTGTGTCTGACCCTCCTCATCCTCACGCAGCCGGGGGCAGGGGAAGGCTTTTCCCGGCGGTGGGCTTAGGGCACCGTGGAGCTACGGGGACGTTAACCAAAGGTGTTCTTATGAGGAGAGGCTGAGGGAACTGGGGTTGTTCTGCCTGTAGAAAAGGAGGCTGAGGGGAGACCTTACTGCTCCCTACAGCTACCTGAAGGGAGGCTGTGGAGAGTGGGGGTCGGTCTCCCAAGTAACAAGTGATAGGACAAGAGGAAATAGCCCCAAGTTGCACCAGGGGAGGTTGAGGATGGGTATTAGGAAAAAATTCCTCACAGAAAGGGTTATCAAACATTGGAACAGGCCACCCAGGCAAGTGGTGGAATCGCCATCCCTGGAGCTATTTGAAATACGGGTAGACATGGTGCTTAGGGACATGTTTGAGGATGGGTATTAGGAAAAAATTCCTCACAGAAAGGGTTATCAAACATTGGAACAGGCCACCCAGGCAAGTGGTGGAATCGCCATCCCTGGAGCTATTTGAAATACGGGTAGACATGGTGCTTAGGGACATGTTTTAGTGGAGGGTTTGGCAGTGTTAGGTTAATGGGTGGACTCCATGATCTTAAAGGTCCCTTCCAACCTACACAATTCTAGGATTCCATGTCTGACCCGTCTGGTCAAGCACCCAAAATAAATAAATGGTGAAGGTTTGCCAACGCAACTGCTTCATTTTTCAAAGTCTCTGTCTCAGTCCTGGACAAGGGAGTGCGTTTGTGGCCCCGAGCTGGCTTGCAGGAGGGTCCTCGCTGGCTAGGAGCACAGGTCGCTCTCTGACCCACGGCCTTGACAGATGGAGAGGCTCTGTCTGCCTCAGGGGTGGGGGGGAAGAAGAGACAGAAAACACTTTCTGAATGTGTTGTAGAAGTTTCTCAACATTTTCAAACTCACAGTGGAGGATGGGGGTTTTGCTGTAATTAAGTTTCTCTGGGGCATTAAGGTGCGTGGTGGCACCTTCACCTTGCCACCTTCAATGACGCTTGACAAATACTTCAGGAAAGTGGAAGCCCTGTGAGGAGTAAGATGTCTATATCTCATCCTCGGAGGAACAGTGGCCAGCAGAGGAGTAGTGGACAGCCTTCCTCACCCAAAGTCTCCTCCACTAAAATGTTCCCATAAAAAAGAGCCATTCCACATATTTTGGAGAGTCAACAGGAGGTGAGCTCCGAAAATCCTTGACAGGCAGTTGAAAGACAGGCTATGGGGTGGGGTTGGAGTGGGAGAGCCCCTGATTCCTGGACTGCCTTGGCAAGGTCAGCCTCAGCTGTTACTGGAGGCTTTTTGCCTCCTACAGCTGGAGTTTGTCTCACCTAGCAGCCCTTATGCTGATACAGCCTTCCTTGTGGACATGAAGAAGCAAACTCAATCTCTTACGAGCCATGTAAGAGTGCAAACCAGCCTTTATTCTGTAGATCGCTTAAAATGCCATGGGCACAGTGCCCTGGGGATGACAGAGCTGAGCAGTGCAAAGCAGGAGAGGACAATAAACTGAGAAAAGGGGAACAGGAGTTGTTTGTCATTTCCCAAGTGTGTCTTTGAATTGACAGCACCAAATCTTCATCATCCTAAGGAAGATCCTCCTCTTCTTCCCTTAGCGAATTGTATGCCCCTGAAGTATAAACAAGAGGAAATGGAGAGCTCAGGGCCCTAGCACAGCTTGTGGCTGCATCCGTGCAAATGCTGCCTGGTTATCTATCAGGCTGGTGTTGGAAAGCACAAAGTTTTGTGCACAAACAATCTTGTTTTCCAAAGAAACTAAATGGGAAGCTCAGCTCTAGGTATGCGTCTGTTCATGTCCAGAAGCACCAGTGGTTGGTCCATTGGACAGCTTCAAACTGTGTCCATGATGGGGAGTGTTCAGTCTTCAACCAAGTAGAAACCTTCATGTAGATGTAGGGATCTTGGCACCAGCTGCCTTGTCTTACGTGTTCGCATGCATTGAGCTGCATCATCTGCCAATTTAGACATAGCCCGTGTGTACGCTTATGTGTAAGTTACAGAAAATCTGCATTGTCGGTCCCTTTCTTTGAAGCAAGTCTCATGGCTTTTGAAGACAAGGCTGGATATATGTCAAACCATTAATTCGATATTAAATTCCGTCTTCCTGACTCTGCATTTTGTTTTAGGTAACTATTTTGCTGGTAACTAGTTTGTTCCTGCTAGGACTGGATTTTATTAGCCGAGGTCTGAGAACAACTTATAGCTGGTAATATAGAAGAACATTGTTTACAGCTCTCTATTTTTAAGTATTTTCTCAGTAAAGTGTCCCTATTTTGTTTCTGTTTAGAGGATATTTTTTTTTAGGGGAGAGAAACGTTTAGTGCTGTTCTTGAGTCAGAGAAAAGTAAAAGGGAAGCCCCAAAGCCACTTGTAAATATATGATTTTAATTTGCCATTTGAAATCTTCAGGTGAGCTGCTGTTTGAGGACTACCTCTTCTCGTTCGTGGCAAAAACAAGCCACCACGAAGTTACAGCTTCCTAAATCCAAACGTGAACAGTGAGCATGTGGCTCACAGTACTAACTATAAAGCATACATAGTGATTAATTACTTTGTCACAAAATTATGTTCAGTCCTGGAAATATTGAGACACCCAAGTAGTTTTAAAGTATAAGAGAAGCATATCCATTTGGGGGTCTGTTATGTGTTCATAAAGTAGTTGATACTTTTTAACTCCAGTAGATTATGAATCAAGCCCCTTACATCTGTAATTAATTTCCATCTGATTGGTCACTCGAGAGCTCTGATTAACTTTTTGTCTTCCTGCTGCCCAAAGCAATAGTACAGGGTTGTGTTTTTTTTAAGAGTAGTTTACATTTTACTTCCTAACATGTACTGAAATGTTCTGGGCAAATGTTAACCTAAGCGATGCTCTCTTGAGTCCTGTATATTAAAATCATTAAGCTTATCTAATAAACTGTTAGGCTATTTTTTAGGTTTGTCTGTCTGTTTCCCATTCACGTTTGTGTATATGGGATGAATGTGGTTCTTGTGTGCTTCTCTCTCAGCCCAGGTCATATTTGCTCCTCAAATTCATTACAGAAAAAAAATTGTGTTTGGAACCAAAAAACAAGTATGGTTTCTAACATCTTGAAGTCAGTAGTTTGCTCAGCTGATGAGCTGAGGAAATGGGTCATTTTAGCTGTCTTGGGCAAAAAGCAGTGATTAGTAATCGTTTCCTTTCTCGCATATTTTCTGTTACACTACATTTCTTACTCATATACCAAACACTGTCTGTTTGTTTAATGGAATAAAAAAGACACAGAGAGGACATCAGGAAATAATTAGACATTAATCTCTCTGCTCTTGATAGAAAAATGATCTGGTCCAGAAGTATCTCGAGTGGAGGCATCTCACTGGAGAGGTCCAAAAGAATCAAGTACAGTGCTGTAATGTGTTACAGTATAAACAATGAAACATATCATACAATCACATAATCACAGAATGGCAGTGGTTGGAAGGGACCTTTGGAGATCATCTAGTCCAACTCCCCTGCCAAAGCAAGGTCACCTAGAGCAGGTTGCACAGGAACGTATCCAGGCGGGTTTTGAATGTCTCCAGAGATGGGAGACTCCTCCACCTCTCTGGACAGCCTGTTCCAGTACTCTGTCACTCTCAAAGAAGTTTTTCCTCATGTTAGGTGGAACTTTCTGTGTTCTTGACACCCGCCCTTTAGATATTTATAAGCACCGATGAGATCCCCTCTCAGTCTTCTCTTCTCCAGGCTAAACAGACCCAGGTCTGTCAGCATTTACTCATAAGAGAGGTGCTCCATGCCTCTGATCATCCTTGTAGCCCTCCTCTGGACTCTCTCCAGTAGTTCCTTGTCTTTCTTGAACTGAGGAGCCCGGAACTGGGCACAGTACTCCATTATCAGAAAACTACCTTGTGCCTTGTAGCAAAATGTGTCTGTAATTGCTGCTTAAGCAACAGGGTGAAAGTCTGAAGGTGTCCCCAGCAGCAGATCGTATCAGGGCAGGGCACATTAGCTTTACTTACACAGTCAGAAATCCATCATGCAGGTCAGCACATGAGCTTTAATGTGTTAGAGACCCAGTCCTTTCCTGAACTGAAAGCAGGCCCCTCACCACAACTACAAGATAGGAATCTTGAGAAGACCTTGCTATGGTGTTGCCTTGCTTCAGAAAGATGCCTGTATTTCCTTGTTGAGGTTGCTGCTAACTACCTACTACAGAAAACGAGTCTTGGGTCATTGTTTTTTTAAATCACTGTGCTTGATCTTTCCATCCCTAGTTGTCTGCTTTTTGGAGCTACTAGCTCTCTTCCAAACCTTATCTTCTATATAGGAGGTTTTTTGGGGTTTTTTTTGCTTATAGTCTAGCAATTAGGAAAAGCTCACTGTATAAGGAATTCAAACTAGCGGATATCAAAATTTGTGAGCCAGCTGCTCCACAAGAGGACAGGTGAACTGGGTTTCCCAGCCTAGAGGATGGCCAGTGATTCTGGTGTCTGCATGGCCATGGGCTGGGAGAGAGCAAATGACAACTGTCTTTTCCTGTCTGCTATCTGACGAAGTGGAAGGATGTCTCCCCAGTCATAGTGGGAGGTGTCCCTGCCCGTGGCTGCGGGGTTGGAACTCAGTGATCTTTAAGATCCCTTCCAACTCAAACCATTCTACGATTCTATGATATGCTGCTGCTATCTTGAGTTATTCTTCCCGTTGCAAAGGCAGCCTCTTGCAGGCACAACTTTTAAGTTGAAACTGAGTCTGAGCTCCTTATATAACAATAATTAAAACAATAAGATTGTCATTTGAAAATGTTGTCAAACTATGACTGAATGTTACTGCAGGAATGCTCAGAATGTGGGTCTTG